TTATTTCAAAGTGACAGCTGTTCAGAAGCCCTCAGCTGGGGCACTGATCCCTCCGTCGTGTGGTAGGGCGCTGATGTGAACGAGTCTTGGCCGAAACTGGAGTTCAACTACCTGGGAACGACACGCTTCCCTTCTTGTTTTGCTCTGTCAGCACACTGGGAAGATTAGACACAAACCTTCTGCAGTTTATTTTCTTTTTGAACGAGTTACATTATGGAGGGCCTTTTACCCTAAAAGAAGAAAAGCTCCCTCTCTGTTAGGAACAGCAGAGTGTAGTTGCAACTTGTCTTGGACTTCCTCAGAGATGTTTTAAGATCCGGTGTAAACTTGCTGTGGTTTGCCTGTGGGCATCCAACTGTTTAGCTTGGCTCCATTATATCTGTAATTGCTGCATTTTAATAATTGCCCAATATTCTTGTCAGCAATTTGCAGTCTGTATTTTTAATAGAACCATTTGCCTTTCTTTTCCACAGGTTCATTCAAACCTGATTTAAGCCTCTGGCTTAACGCAGCGCAGACCCACAGACCCTCTGCAGCTGTAGGCAGAGGGTGACACGCTTGTTAAATGTTCCCAGAAGCCTCTTGCCGTTGATAGTTCTGTGCTCCATAACCATCCTCCGGGAAGCCATCTTCTCCTGAGCTCTCCTTACAGGGTTCTGCTTTAAACATTGCCTTTAGCATTTGCTGAAATAGCTTATTCTTTTAGAGAGATTCTTTCCCTTTATCAATCCATTTGGGAAATCTTACTTTTTGAAGAGAAAAATAGGAACACATGCTCCTTGCTGTTGAGTCTTTAAGTTCACAGAGAACACTTTTGTTTTATCTGAAGTGATATGGCATTACGGTGACAGAAATGGTGGGCTTCAAGGAAAGATGGGTGACAGTTTCATGGCTTCCCAATTATTTCTATCATTTAATCAGTTTTTGAGACAAGCCCATTATGCCACCATGACTGGTGCCTCACCTTCACTGGCAGTGTTGTTGTTTCAGTGGGTCCACCCTTTAGTTTATCTCCTTTTAGTTTGTTGTGATGTTTCTTTTGCAATAAGCAAAAGATTGAACTGGTTTTATAGTAGCTAAGAGTTACATAAATAACCACACCCTCACTTCCCCACTTATTGGTATAAATATCTCTTTCGTTTTTTTGGAGAGGTTTTTGCTTTAGGGCGCGTGCGCTGCCAGAAAGAGAGATATAGAGAGACATAAAGTGAGAAATCATCCCCTGGGGGGATGGCCACGCCGCAATCCCTTCTCCATTCTCCTCTTGGGATCTTGGGCATGCACGCACACGCGCCCAGCGTGAGTGTAAGACACCGGGTCCAGGACTCGGACTGTGGTCGGCTACATGGGAGTCCAGCAACATAGCCATTACGCCAATTGCTGGCCCCATTGGTATAAATATCTCAAAGAGAATGACTGAATAGTAATAGTTGCTAACATTTATTGATTGCTTATTACGTGGTAGGCACTGTTCGAGGCAATATATATGAATTAACTAACTGAATCCTTACAACAGCCTACATGTCCTACCATAGGATAGATTCAGTTAGGTAGAATAAGCTGCCTACTATCACCCTTTGGTAGGTGGCACATTGGGTTCATACCCAGGCAATTTTTTTTGAGATTTTACCCATTTATTTATTTTTCCATGAGCAAGAGAGATAGGTATCCCCCAGCAGGGGCCTGATGCTATGATCCATCCTGAGCTTTAGCCGGCCCTGAATCCGAGGCACACGCGTGCCTGAAGTACTCAGGAAAGTCTCTGGACTTGAACCAGGAACCTTCCCATGTAGCAGACCTGGCATGCATAGGTTGGCATGGGCACTGAACTCCAATCTTCCATACGGATCTGGCGTGGCTTGGGTAGCCCGTTTCTGCTGTGCTGCACATTCGCCCTCAGGCTAGGCTTCCATCACTGTCTTACACCAAGATTACCCCGGAGTGCCTCCTCTGTATATGCTAATTTAATTTTAAACATACTAAGAAATTCTTTCTGAATTTAGAACTTTATTGTTATTATTTCTGGGTAGGTGATACTAGCACATGGTACAAAACCCAGAAGGGATCTCCTAGAAAAGGCTCCTGCCCCCTTTCTCCCACCTGCCCTCTTCTCACAGGCTGTTAGTGCTTCAACTGTGAAGAACCGTTTTATTTACTGTTGGAATTTTTCAGAGGGTGTGTGTGCTTGCCAGAGAGAGAAATAGACAGAGAAAGAGGGAAAGGAGGAACCCCCTTACCCTGCATGCCATGAGTATTCAGGCGCGCCAGATTCCCTTTTCCTCCATTCTTCTATCCTGTTGAAATCTGGGGCACGCACATATGCACCTGATGTATTTCTTAAGCTGTCAGATGAGGGACTCGAACTGCATGGTTGGCCATGTGGGATCTGGTTCCCATAACCACTAGACTGCAGCTCTGGCCTCATGAACAACTATTTTAAGTAAGAGCCATTTTAAATATCTTTCTCCTAATACTCTGAAGAACATTTAATTAGAAACTCATTTTGCTGTTGTTTTTATATTTTTGAATTGCATCTCCAAGTGCCCAAACTGGCTTTGTCTGAAAGTAGCCAGTAGGTTCTGTGTAAGGTAATTCCTGGGGGAAGGCTTTCAGTCCCCTGCTGTTTGAGATGGCTCCTGGAAGCGCCATCATCTTGCCTTGCCTAGGACATAGATCAGGAAGTGTTTTTGCACTTTTATCCAGTTGGAATAACTTTTTTCCAGATGAGAAGGATCCCTGCCTGAAGCATTGTAGGTGTTCAATAAATATTTGTTGAACAACTTCTGTGGGTTGTGCCAGGCACAGTGATTTAGGACTGGAAAAATATACTTTGGAGTGTCCAAATGACATTACCATTAGGGTCACAAGTGGAATATTCAAGTTAAGCACACTACCACAAAACTTGTGCAAGATTCTGGATAGGAAAAGGCTAGAAAGGACCTTCTGGATCCTCTAGTCAAGTAACCAGATAGTCCCAGCTGGGGAAGAGCAGGGGGATTTTTTTTTTTTTTCCTGTTAAAATGTCGGCAAATACTTGAAATAAGAACCTTGCCTTTTTCTGGTTCTTTATTTTTAGATTGATTCTCAGAGTAATTTAATTTGATCCTTATGATAACCCTGTCATTATACCATTAGGCTGGGTCTGTAATCAGAGCTCCTTGTGTTTTCTCGCTGGCATCGGGGGAAGCATACGTCTAGTGTCATTGATTCCTTTACTACCGCAGTGTGCCTGGGGATGTTCTGTTACAGGTGCACCTCAGTTTTCTTCTGTATTCTTGAAAATTCTATGGAAGGCCAAACAGTGTGCCTGTAGCCTAGTGGCTAAGGGAGCCAGATCCCACATGACCAACCACTGTTTGAATCCCTGCCCCAGCGACTTCAAAAGTATGCTGAATGCATTTGTGTGGGTGCCCCAAATTCTGGCAGGATGGAGAAACGGAGGAAAAAGAAGTTGCTGTGTGACCGCACTACACTGGGAGGCGTGCTTTTCCCCTTTCTCTGTCTCTTGTCTCTCTTGCTCTCTGAGCACACATACCCTCTAGCAATTAAAAAGAAAACAGAGATGGAAAATGTCAAAAATAAGCTTGTCATTTGCAAAGGTATTTGCTATAAAAATTGTTAGTAGGTAATCACTGTCCTCACCCTAGTTTACTTATGTGCCATCTTGGCCTCTTTTAAGTTAAATTTCTTAATTTGCAATTTTCAGAAATTCTCCCTGTAGCTGTAATGTCTGTTTGTTCATGAAGCTTTTGCCCTAAGTTTTCTTAGCGAATTCATTTGTTTTTACAGGCAATTGGAAAAATCACAAAGAAGTATTTTAAAGCCAGTCTGATTTGCAAAGATTGCCTGTGATCGGAGAACCTACAAGCTGAGGTGGCCAGATGAGACCCACTGCTGGAGAGAGAACGATGACTTCCTGTTATGTGCTCGCCACGTTTGCCCTGATGAGCTCCTGTTTAGCCACTGCGGGTAAGCTGCATAATGTTAATTGCATGTTCATTATATTCTTTTGGGTATATTTTCCCTTAGTCTCTAATATTCAGAAGAATTTAAGATATGCAATGTTCATGCAAAACAACTTGGATGTTTATTATTTATGTTCTTTAGGGAAGTAAAATATCTTACTATGGCACAGATTCATAATATGTTTGCCTATGTTATATTTTACTGGGTCAGTGATAGGCTTTTTTTTTTCTTTTTTTTAGTTTTTGCTATATGATGTGTGTGCTTGCCAGAGAGAGAAAGAGAGACAGAGAAAAAGTGAGAAATCTCCCTCCCAGGGGACTTGGCCACATTATAATCCCTTTTCCTCCAGTCTCCTCTTGAGATTTTTTGAGCACACATACCTGGTACGATTTTCTTTTTCTTTATTTTGAGAGAGATTTTTGCTATAGAGCGTGTGGGCTCGCCAGAGTGACAAGGGGAGACAGAGAAATCATCCCACAGGGGGTTGGCCATGCCTCAATCCCTTCTCCTCCATTCTCCTCTCGGGATTTTGGGCACACATGCACACATGCCTGGTGCAAGTTCAAGCCTCTGGATCTGGGTCTTGAACCTCCGTTGGCCATGTGGGAGGTAATCATCAAGCCATTGGCTAGTCTCACTGGGTTCAGGACTCAAATTGTGCAGCCAGCCATGTTGGATCCAGTACCTTAACCTCCACGCCACCTGCTGGCCTGATGATAGGCATTCTAATGTCAGTGCTGCAAATACCTAACTGACCTGTGTTGAGGCAGGTAGACAAGAAATATGCTAATGGTTAATTTCACTTTATGTTGTTACACACATAGACTATATTTACATCCTTGTCCCTAAACAAAAATATAAGAGAGCCCTTTTGTTCTTTACAAGTTATATACTAAGTAGACCTAGACAGAGGTGACATTCCGGCATGAACTGCTTAGAACGTTTTGAATTTTGATATTTCAGTTATTTCAGTACATAACTTGTTAAAAGGTAGAGAAATACACTGTGCTTTCTGGTGGCCATCAGAGTATGAAGCAGGAGATGAGAAGCAAGTGACCTGGTCGAAATGTTTGTGTAGGTCAGATCACCCAACCATCTTTTTATCGCCCTAAGAATTATTTATTTACTTAATTCCATTTGTTATTATTATTTTTTTAATTTGATGAGAGAGAGAAAGGGAACGTGAGAAAAAAACCGCTAGGTCCAGGACTAAAACCACGGTCAGTCACGTGGGAATCCAGTGCCTTTAACCACCATGCCACCTGCCAGCCCTTGCCCATACAACATCTTAGTGTTCATTGTTACTTAATAAATCAGCAAGCTTAATTTGCTTTATTTTGTTATAATTTGCTATATCTCTTCCATAATGAGCTAAATAAAACTCATTTTGTTGGACCATTTCTGGAAACTGACAGGTCTCACCAGGAAAGGCATTGACTTGGAAAATGATTACCCTTTTGATTTTGGCTGTTAAATTGTGAATACAAGTGAAAGTGTTAATAATGACCATTTATTGGGCACTGCAGCCAGGCACTGTGCTAAACAATATTTGAATGTAAAAATGATGAAGGATATTCTTTTATTTATTTATTTATTTATGCTTTTTTGCCATAAGGCATATACGCTTGCTAGAGAGAGACACAGAGAGAAAGGGAAAGTGAGAAATCATTCTGCAGGTGGGATGGTCACACCACAGTCCCTTCTCCTCCATTCTCCTCTTGGGATTTTGGGTATGGACGCACATGTGCCTGGCGTGTTTTACAAACTGCGGGGTCTGGTACTCGAACTGCACAGTTGACCATGTGGGATCCAGAGCCTGAACCATCATGCCACCTGCTGGCCCCAAAGAAGGATATTCTTATTTAATGAGCTCACATAATCACAACTCGGAGTTAGATATAACTCTTTTAGCCATTTTGTTGATGATTAAATAAGATACAGAGAGATTACGTTATTTGCACAGTGTCATGTAGATGGGAAGTGGAGGAGCCGGATTTTACATCTGTGCTCTTACCCTCTGGGTTATACTGAAGAAACCAGACTACTGCTACATATCGAACAGACTCAGACCAGAGGGTGTCTGCAGACACAGACCGAGGGAAAGCCAGATGGCAAGATTTTATGAGATTACGAGTTCATGCGATTGGAAAGCAGAACGTCCCCTGTGCCACATGTATCATGAAAGAAAGTTGCTAGGTTTCTGTTTGTTTGTTTGTTTTGAATGTCAGTATGTGAATTTGAACTGCTCATTCTCTGTCTTACTGTCTGTAAGCAGTTTCATTTTGTCTCATTATTGAAGTTATTTACTTTTAGCCTGTGCATCAAAACTGATGTTAATTAAAATCTTACTGAACAGGGATAGCAAAAAAAAAAAGAATAAAACAGGGGGTGTGGGGAGAGAGAAACAACTTACTTGATGGAAATTTTGCTGTTTTGATGGCAAGATGTATAATCTTAACGGGTGGGTTTGAGGCTTTTTTTGATGCCTGGGTCAAACTGAAAACACAACTAAGAAGGTACTCCATGGGAAAGCAGGGAGGTTGATGGCTCTGTACGATCTTGGTGTATTTCATAGTAAGTTTTGTTCAAGACTTTTCCTCTTTCAAGCCATTAGGAAAATTGCTTCTGAGCTGTATACACACTCAGGGCTTTGCTTCGGTGGAAGGGACAGGAGAGTTGCAGATTTTATAACAGCATGGGCACACGGAACAGCACAGAGGTAGAGATGCCATTTTGGTGCAGAAGTTTATTGTTTCCCTTTTGCACCACCTCATGGGTAAAATGAATGAAGGAGGAGGGAAAAGTGTCTGTGTACGAATATCTAATAGCTTTCTTTTCTTTTCTTAAAGACAGATTTTTGTGGGACCAGCAATTGGCGTAATGGTTATGTCGCTGGAATCCCATGTAGTCGACCAGGTTTGAGTCCTGGACCTGGTGGCTTAAACTCACACCAGGCGTGTATGCGTGCATGCCCAAGATCCCGAGAGGAGAATGGAGGAGCAGGGGTTGCGGCGTGGCATCCTCCTGGGGGGGGCGGTTTCTTGCTTTCTGTCTCTGTCTTTCTGGTGAGTGCATGTGCCCTATAGCAAAAACCTCTCCAAATAAATACATAAAAAAATAAATAAAAGACAAATTTTTGCTATAGGGCAGGTGCACTTGCTGGAGACAGAGAGTGAGAGAGAAAGTGAGAATCTACTGCCTGCTCTTCACCACCCCCCTCCCCCCCACCCCCGCAGGGGTTAGGCCACACTGCAGTCCCTTCTCCTTCATTCTCCTCTAGGGATTTTGGACATACATGTGCCTGGCATGAGTTTCAAGCCGCTGGATCTAGGACTCGAACTGTGGTTGATCTTGTGGAAGTCCAATGCCTTCAACACTACCCCATCTGCTGGCTTCTCCAGTAGCTTTCTATATAGCTTCACCATACTTTATTATTTTCTTTTTAAGAGAGGCTTTTGCTATAGGGCGTGTGGGCTTGCCAAAAAACCAGAAAGCAAGAAATCACCCCCGCCCCCGGGGGGTGACCACATCACAATCCCTTCTCCTTCATTCTCCTCTTGGGATCTTGAGCATGCATGCATACGTGCCTGGCATGTTTTAAGCTTCCAGGTTCGGTACTCAGGCCGCGGTCGACTATGTGGGAGTCCAGAGATGTAACCATTACGCCATCTGCTGGTCCCAGCTTCAGCATACTTTACAAAATTTTTTTTGGGGGGGGGATTCAAAAAGTTAGTAATGCTAACAATATTTATATAATATTTATAGAGTTATTACTGTGTGCCTGGCCCCATTGAAAAGGCTTATATGTATTATCTCATTCCATCCTTATAACTACCCTAAATTTAGACATTTTGATTATCTCCAGTTCATAGATGAGAAAATTGAAGTAGGGGAGGGTAACTTCTTCAAAGTCACATAGTGAATAAGTAGCATATTTAACCATAAATCTACTTAGTCCAGGTGTGTGTGAAGATTGAACCTGTAAGCCACTAATTGAGGGAGTATTGATCTGCAGGGCATTTATTTTGAAAAAATGGTACTGGTTTGCTTTGAGCCACCTTTGTCCTCTTGAAACATTAAATAAATCACTTACTCACCACGTCCCTAAGTCCAAAGCACAGTACTAGTTGCTCAGAGATGCACTAAGGAATGTGAGATTCATTCCTTCTTGTACTTGACTTAGACGTCTAAAGTATCATCTCATGACAGAATAATTCATTGCATGGCGAATATTACGCAAAATCCAAAAATACCTTGGAAGGAAGAAGGGTAGAGCAGGAAGGCTTCATGGAAGGTCTAGGTCTGAACTTCTCTACGAAAGGCCGGGCAGAATTTAGGAAGGATAAGGTGCTGGGTGGGTTGACCAGATGGAGAACCTTGCCTTGCTCATTTTGCAGCTTGTTGTTTCTTTTTCATTTCTTTCATTTTGCTATAGGATGTATACGCTCACTGGGGACGGGGAGATGGAGGTGGGCATGGAGGGGTGCGGCGAGAGCAGTCACTCTCCAGGACGATGGCCGCACTGCACTCTTCTCTTCATTCTCCTCTTGGGAGAATGGCCTATATGCCCAGGGTGCTTCTCAAGCCATGGGGTCTGGGACTAGAACTGCAATTGGCCATGTGGGATCCAGCTGCCCTAATCACCACTGGCTGGCCCTTCTTACTGTTTTTTAAGTAGATGGATGACTTGGAGGATGAGTTTGGGAATGTAGCAGGAGGTCTGGAAAGAAGGATGGGAGGAGATTGTACAGGACCTCAAATATGAGCCTCAGAGTAAGGCTTTCCTTCAGAGGTTTGGATTTTCTCTTCTTCCATCCTCTGTAGCTAAAGGCAGCACTGTCTAATCTTAAAATTCAAACTATGGCCTTGAACAGTGAGACTGATATAACCTTATTAGTTCATATAATAGGTCTGACATTTATCAAGGGCTTATTCTCTGCTCACTAATTTATTTTGTCTTTACAGGACAACCTATGAAGTGGGTAATATTATCTTCATATTCA